TTTTTTTTTATTGGTACGGTCTAAAGGCTACGATAGGTACGGTAAGAGCGAGACTGATTCGCCTAAAACTTTACCTAAGAGAGTTGTGTGTAACGCTGACCATGAATTTGGTACTCTTCCGCATCTTAACGTCTCATTGTAAAGATATAGTGGGATCATGGTAGACAACGTTCAAGCTCAAGCCTTTATTCAAAAGTCAATCCTTTTATTATAGCTAAGAAACGTAATTCCATCATTATAAAACGATCTTTCGTACGATCTGTTGCATCAGACCACTTTCAGGCGGTTCGCCTTACCTATGACCGAATCCCTCCCCTCTCTCCGTTCCTCCTTCTAGATAAAATTTCGGAAAAATCCAAAATCTTAGTATTTTGCGGCACTGAAGGTAAACTGAAAAAGCAGTGCTACTACACAGCGCTGCGCGCACGTATGTTAGAGTTGAGCCATGTTATTTCTTTATGGGGCATTTCTTCTGAAGCCTCTCGTGGAGGGAAGAGGGAGCAGCTGGACGAGCCAAAACTTCTCGAAGAGAATGGCAGCTTCTTTCCAGTTGTGATCGCTCCTTTTGTAATTTGAAAAAAAAAACAAGGAAAAATCAATTTTTTCTTTAGCTAACAATCTATGCAGCACTAATGGTGATAATTGGACGTCGAGAGATTCAACAGGAAGTTGATCAGAAGCAGTTAGCCTTGAAGCACGTGAATCCCTATGACAAGAAGATAGACATCGAGAAGGAATCAGCCAAAAAACCAGGGTTAGCTATTTTACCGCTAAACCCGCCCGATTCCACTCGCTGGACGGATTGGCTTCTTTCCAGAGTTCTCGATGTCTATTGTAGCTTAATCTCCAATAAAATCTTCTCATCCGCTGTAATAGCAGGTCTAGCTGTGTACTGGTAAGTAAAATGGACTGTTTTGTACATATAAAGGGGAGAAATGAGGGTTTCAGGTACATTTCGATTATTGGAACCCTTAATATCAAAGCTGAGCTTACCCCAAGTAAGCTGTTCCTAGCTGACTCGGATTTGGCCACGGTTGATGTTTTTACTACTAGATGTCTTTTTAAACGAATAAACTTGTCATTTTCCAGATTTTCGAAGCTCGTAGAAACTTCATTACTCCTTACTACAGTGTGTGCTGGATCCTCGTCGAAAAGCCTGGCGATGTTATGAATCAGACCCAAGCACGACGAATTCATCGAATGGTAAGGTTCAACTACCCGAGTCACTCTTTGAATTTTACTTGCGGCATTTCAGGTTTCAGATTTTGAAAATCTACCGAATTCCGTTGGTCAATACTCGACGAAATTCTGGATGAGAGATTATGACGATTTTCGACGACAAGCTGAAGAGCTCGATATTCCAGAAGAATTTGCCGAAGAACCAGAAGTTGCTATCGAGTTTTCGCATAATGGAAGGTAGGTGTCCCGATTATAAAAAGAGGTTTGCGGATTAAAGCATTGACAGTAATCATTTTAGCGCTCTCGTGCCTGCCAAATCCACCTCTGAGGGTAACGAATTGAAACAATTCTTGGAGTGGCCGGAATTTTCATTTTGGAAAGGGTTTATACAACTCGAGCATGTCAAGGAGAGGTAAGCGCGATTACACTTTGCATTCCGTCAGTCCCAACCCTGCTATTTTTGGATTAGCCAAGAAATCAAGCCTTGAAACCAGCAGTTATTATCAACAGTGTGATTTCAGCAACGAATACAAAGTAACTCGATTCTTCTTTACCACCGCATTTCATGGTGAAGATCTCAATGAATGGTCTAATAGAGCACGTCTTCTGAATCAGTGGCGAAATCTTGCCGACAATGTTGGTTAATTAGGTGAAATTCTGAATGATTTCATTATTTCTAGAAGATTTCTTGCAGTATTCCGATCTCGGTGTTTCGATCTATGAGGAAGATGCTAAGTTCCTGGATCTCATCGAAACTATGGTTCCAGTTGCTACACAGTCAGCCTTCTTTACCTTTATCTCAATGTTCATCGTCGCTGCGCTATTCATCTCACATCCTCCAACATTATTCGTTGCTACATTCAGTATCCTCAGCACGAGCATAGGTAAAAGTCACAAAGGCTGGTAACAATGTTAACCATATATCACATACCATACCTTTTTAGGAGTGTTCGGAATTATGTCCTTTAGAGGAGCTGAACTCGATCCGATAATGATGTCAGCCACGGTGATGAGTATCGGCTTCTCCGTCGACATCCCGTCACACATCGCTTACCATTACTACCAAACAGGTTGGTAACATCTATCGGGGTCATTAGATGTTTCACTTCCATGGAAACCACCTGTAATTAGTCCAAAACAAGTCTATTCGTTCTAGGCAAGGAATCAAAAAGTGTGCGGGATCGGTTGGAGAGAACTATCGCCTCTGTTGGATTTCCTATCCTACAGGCGTCAATATCGACGATTCTATGCGTACTCAGCTTGTTTTTCGTAAAACTGCACATGTCACAGGTGAGTCAGTTTCGTTG